ATATATATATATATATATATATATATATATGCACGTACATAAATATTTATATATCTCTTTCTATTATCTGTGCAACACTGTTAGATCAATTGGTGCGTATAAATATAGCAATAATAAGAAAAATAAATTGTAATATTTTCATATTTGTAATATTGCATATATGTGTGTCTCAACGTTGTTTCAAATTAACGTTTATTAATTAGTTAGCGAAATAAATATATAGAAACGTAATTTTGCTTGATAAATACTATATAGAGGAAGAGATGCAGTGATCGGCAAGATACATTTCTATTTTAAGTTATGCACCTTTTGATGCACAACTAACACTTGTAGAATTCATTTCTTTTTCTGGTAAAGATTAGTCAAGATTTTACCCTACAATACATAGTTATATTAGATAAATATAGTATATTCTGCTCAAAATAAAATATATCGAATTAAAATAACGAAAATCACTGTAATTGGCACTCACATCATAATGATTGGCATAATTCTCATAGCGATTAGCACTCATTAGAAATATATTAAATGAAGAAATATATATCAATTTAAAGTTAATTGAATCAACCGTTAGTCAACATATTTAAGTTGCGCTGCTAATAAATTTATTAGATAAATACACACTGTCCACACACACCAACATATCGGCGGCCTCTGTAATCTAATAAATCCATCAATATTGCAACTTAATTAATTGCTCTCCGATTAGACCATTTTCTCCCTATCATTAACAGCTGCACATTCGATGATGGCAATTAGTATGTTTTACATTTAAATATGCCGATATGCTAATCACTGTATTCCTGCTAATTATCTCTTCGTTTACATAACTTATTTTATTTCAATTTACATATCAAGAGAGAACGGACTCGACTTTTTTTACAATTTTTTAACCACACCCCTTTTATCCACGCCATATATTTATTCGGCTAATTAAAATCTAATATATAAATAATATCACTGTTCAAAACAGTTCTCTTATTATTTCTATCTTATCTCTCGCAGTTTTTTTTATATCTAATCACTTATCCTTACTAACCGTCAATTACTTCCTACTTAATTTTCGCACTAAACCTAAACCTAAATTTATTTCTACGCTTAATGAATACTAAATTTATGCGTGGCCTCCTTGGTCTGCCATTGGAAACACAACACTTGGAACCTTGGAACCTCCTTAATGAAAACGTCACGCGCCGGTAATCCCGACGTGGTGTTAACGAAGGCGAAGGGACGTTCTCGAAGATGCGACCAGGACTACGCAGGCTGTAGCGCGTGTTTCTTTTCCGTCGAAAGGATATTTCGCTTTTTCGCGCCGCCCGTTCGAAAGGATATTTCGCTTTTTCGCGTCGCGTGATGACGATCTCTGTTTCGTTTCTTCCCTCCCCCGCTCCCTGCAGCGGGAAAAATGACCTAAGCGCCGCAGCCGCTATCTGCATGCGATGCGTTTTCACTTGGCGCGACCCAGTTTCGCGAAGACACGTCCATCGAGTCTCGAATCCGCCAGGATTAAGAGTCAAGGATAAGCACCTGCGCGAGAGGGCCGGCGAGGAGAAAGAACCGACGGAGGGAGAGTACGAGAAGCGTCACGTGAATTAGATGATTAATCGGCGGACGGGAAGAAATTGTGCCTAACGCGTAACGGTATATGTTAATTCGCCGATTCATCGTTTCTCCTTTTTCGATGGCACGATTACGTTGGCGCGTAAAGCGGCAGGCGGCCAGGCGGACATTTGTTCGATCCGCCATTGAGAAGTGGCACGTACATTGTCACATTGATTTAATAGTTGAGGCGAGTGTCGCGGATTCAGTGCCAGCGGTATAACTGTACGTTCTCGGCTCTGAGGGAAGTAATGAGAAGCCCGCAGTTTTGTCCGATCGCGCCGGATGCGCCGAGGATTCCGCGTCGCGGCGACTTCGAAATGTTCTCTCTCGGTGATGTTCCACGACAAATGTTCTTCCTTACGACACTTTGAAGCAACGTTCGAGAAAATCCCAGACTCTTGTGATTCTTAGTAATCCTTGCATTCAAATATCGTATACGTTCGACAATTTGTATTTTATTATTGGCAGTATTTTTGTATCGTATATTTGATGGTTTCATGCTTTATACTTTATTTTTATTATATTTTTTATGTTTCATTTTTTGCGAGAACGGTCCGAACAGAGTTAGAACCGAAATCTACGTGTAATTGACCTTGCGATCTTTATTTGTAAATAATTTATGTAACTATTTCGTATTGAAACGTCGACGTTTATTGCGTTATCTCGAACTGCATTTGGTTCTTACACGGAGACGAATGATTTGGCGCAACGAATTTTACGTTTTAAGAACAAAATCTGTCAGTTATTATATGAACAGAAAAGCGATTTGTTAAGACTCCAGAGTAGCCGCTGTGATTGTCCCTGTTTAATGATGTCAGAAGCGAGAAAATCCATCTCAAAAATTTTATTTTCAAATAAAAAGATGTACCCATAAAATGACATTTGCGATCGATTCAGCAAACTTGTAAAATTGGACGAACACTTTTCTTTTACTCGAACGATCAGTAAGTAGTCGTTAAATTAACATTGACGAAATCATGAGAAAAGAGGTTGGAAAAGAAGGTTCTGTGTCAAATTAATTTTGCGATTATTTATTGATTGTTTGAGTAAAAAAAAAAACGTGTTAGTCCAGTTTTACAAGTGTGCTGATTCGATCACAAGTGTCATTCTGTAGATATATCTTTTTACTTGAAAGTATAACGCAAAAAATCTTAACATGCGTTTTCTCGCTTCTGACGTCATTAATCAAGGACAGTCACAGCGACTACTCCGGAGACTCAAGAATACTATTTGCCATTCGTTGGATTATTTCGCTAAATCTACAAATTATTTTGCTGTAAGCACAAATTAATAAATATAAGAAAACACTACCTTGTTTTAACGTGTAAGTTAATGTGTTCCAAGGACAAATTTACTTGGCAGAATATTTTCTATCCTGGACAACAAAACTGTTCCTCTTCTAATTACGAATAATTCGGCCAACCAAATTTTACTGCTGTCGCAATGAATACGCAGCAACAACGATGTGGTTTCGCTACAAGAGCAAAATTACTTATCCCCGTGTATACCCGCCCCTTTTCCGTTTGTTGATATTTTACGTTTTAATATTTATTTTTCCAAAATCAGCATTTTCTTTTAAAATAAATATTTCATCGAACATTTGAGAAATTTAACCGAGACACCGAGACAGTTCTTACGTCGTTGGACGTCGAAATAATGGCGGCGTCGGTCATACAAAGAGGCCGCTTAGGCTCAGCCGGCTGTTCGGTGATTTGATTTAACGAACGAACCGACCGATTTTATGGTATCGTAAATACGACGAGGATAGTCCGCGGACACGCTCGATCGTGCCAATAACACACTTAACATTTTACTGCGCTTCCTGTTATTATCAAATCTATCAGCGGTCAGGTGAGTGCGGTTCGCGCTTTCTACGTTCGTCGCGTCCGCCGTGGGTCCGGGGTGCGGCCGGGATTTTTCGCACCCCTTTCGTTTTCGATCTTATTCGAATGTCGCCGGGCCGAAGCGGGTCGGCGAGCAGCGGTCGCCGGAGCGACGAACCGCGTCGACCGTCGGCGGTGCGTAGGCGGTGCGCGAGAGCCGCCCGCGCGTAAAAGGCACAACGGACACGGAGCGGGCGGCGGACCGAAATGCGGTTAGACCGGTCGAATTAAAACGTCGGGACAATGTGGAGTGCGCGCGAGCTGGAGACCGACGAGCAGCAAGTACGACGAGCGTCACGACACCACCACGGAGAAGGACGAGAGCGGAGGCGCGGAATTACCTCGAACGAACCGCGTCGAGAGAGAGACGGTCTGGTGGGAGACGGCGAATCCTCGAGCTCTCGGAGATCATGAAGCGCGTATTCCGGAGGAATTCTGCTCTCTACTCTCGTGTCCTCCCCGGGTGGTTGTCTAGTAGGCGCAAACTCAACTGCTCTCAAATCATGCTCGGCTATGAAAATGGTCGCGCTATGGTGGTGTGTACAACCGCGCCGTCATCCGAGGTGGGGGCAATATCGCCCGGTACGGAGGTACACCTGACCAGATATATAGAGCTAGGGCAGGGCTTCCGTTACGTACAGTCTACTTAGAGTGTTCTCAGGTATATACACGCATCTCTCGCACGCGGTGGGCACGCGTACACGCGGCTAACATGTGTCGAAATCCTGAGGTATCGCTGAGTCGGTAGAAGACGGGCCGGCGCGCGCGGAACTCTCTCTATTCTGTCTATACGTGTATATATATCTTTCTCTCTCGCACCTGGCGGACGGTACCCGAGGGAGAAGCGAAGGGCGTTCGAAAACGCGTGTCGAATCTCGCGGAAGGTACACCAGTGCTTCGTGTCGGGACGAATCTCGTGCGTTTCCGCCCGGAGTGAAGAGTTCACGCGGGCGACTCTCCGTGGTGACACGCGTATCGCGAAGGACGCGTATTTGCATCGCGTGCCCGCGTCGAAATCGTAGCCGATTCGGGTAACGCATCAGAGTGACGCGTACGAGCGATTCCCGAGGAATCCTCGTGGAAATTCTGCGAGCGTATTTCGTGTCGTGCATCTCGCGAACGGTCGCGCCGCTCTCCAAAAGTGCGACGCACTGAGAAGGAAATATCGCAAAATTTCTCTATGACAGACGCAAACTTGATTTCACATAAGTAAACTACGGTAAAATAAGTCCTGTACCCCCCATCGATTTTTCAGCCACTTTTCTTCCATTGTACGTCTCATTTTTCTTCCTTACTTTCACGGGAAATGATCGATTATTATTAATTAACGCAACGATCAACTGTCAAAACGCGGCTCTCGCCGGCCGTGGCATTTCTCAGTGATCGAATATCCGAGAGAACGATATTCGAACTGACACGCATCAATTGTTTCCCCTACACTCTGAACGAACAAAGTACCACAAGCGAGTAAACATTTGCCGAGGAATATTGGAGTAATTATTTCACATTGGTCAAATAAACGTTACTTGAATCTAGCATTAAGCTGAAACAATAAGCTGAAAGACAGAAGAGCTACACGTGACTACTCGACCCGAGTAGAATAATTACTCCAACAGTCCTTAACACATATTTACTTGAATTTACCGCTTTGTTCTTTCAGTGTAATTCGATGAATTTCTCTCTTCACAAATAACATCTCTTGCAGGTATCCCACCTCCAAGGTACGAAAATGAGGCAGTTCGCGCGCCACTGCGTATGTTTGAGCCTGCTGCTGACGACGGTGGCGGCGAGGTCCGCCGAGACGAACCCCGCGTCGAATTCCATCGACGAGCAGCAGCAGCACCAACAGAACAGCGCGAGGTCGAGTAACAACGGCCTGTTCGGCGACCTGCGCTACGTTTACCAGGTGTACAAAGAATGCTCCGGCGCGGAACTGAGTCCATGCCTGAAGCTGAAACTCGTGTCGGCCATGGACCGGGTTTCCCGGAGCTCGCGGTTGAATCTCGCCGAAGGTGTCACTCTGGTGCAGGACGAGCCGGCCGCGAACGAGTCCGAGCCGGAAAAATCTCTCCAAGAGATCGAAGCCGGTTTGCCGCGCGCGTTGGATGACAAGGAAGACGCTCTCAACGGTATGATCTTCGACAGGATCGCCAAGTTCTTCCAGAGCTACACTCTGAAGCTGAAACTGCCGAACGTTGAAGAGCTCCAGCGCAGCCTCACGGAAGAAGGTAAGAGAGCGAGACGTCGAAGGTGGGAGACATATCGGCGACACGAATATGAAGCCGATAACGGTCGAAATAATTCAATATCGGCGTGAATGATCGTTTCGTACGGAAAAAGAAAGAGAAGGAAGGACGTACATATATAGGCTTGATAACGGGCTCGAAATAATTGAATATCGACGCGAACGATTGTTCGTCACGCGTCGTTGAAGACCCGCTGGCCGTTTTTATTTTTCGTCTCTCCGGTCGGACGAGTCCGAGCGTAATCGCGTTACATCCTTTTCAGGTCGCAAGAAGAAGAACAAGATGGGCGGCCTCCTCGCCATTCCTCTGTTAATTGGCGGCACATTAGTACCGCTGGCGCTCGGCGCTCTCGCGCTCTTGGCCGGCAAGGCGCTGATAGTGAGCAAGCTCGCCCTGGTGCTCGCCTCTATCATCGGGCTGAAGAAGCTCGTGTCGGGCGGCCACGACCACGGCCACGAGGTCGTGCAGGTCGGGGGAGGAGGAGGAGGACACGGCTCGAGCGGATGGGCGAGATCGGGACACGAGCTGGCCTACTCCGCGTACAAACCACCGTCTACCTAGGAAAAGGAAAATTTGCGGACGTCATCGCGGCATCACCTCGGTCTCATCGCTCTTCCCTTTCGCGGAGATCTCTCTCTTCTCGCTCTCTAGCCCTCTCTTTCTTCATTCATCCGTCCCCCCCGTCTTCCCCCGCTTCGCGACTAATTTATTTATCCTCACCTCGTGAATAATTTCCTCTCCCTGTTTCTCTCTGTCTTACTTCTCACTCTCCTCTTCCTCTCTCTCTCTCTCTCTCCCTCTATCTCAGTCTCTCTCTCTCTCTCTCTCTCCTTCTCCAGCTGAGTTCACGTTCAGATCACACCGCACGCACGAGAGAGACACCTCCGTATTCGCGGTTCGCTCTCCCGATATTTATTGTTTTCACGCGTAGCCGCGCGACAAGCTCGCCGCGCGCTGCGATATGTATATTTCATTTATAAATACGTAAATAAATTAAGATCCTACACTTATACAGTGCAAAGATGATCAGTGTGTGGGCGTATGTTATCCCCGCGTATTCCTCGATCTCCCGTCACCGATCCCGTGAATGACACGACGCTTCCTTCGCGCGTCCGATACAACCGCGGGCTAGGCAGCTGTACCCACGTCGAAATTCCAACGACGCCGGACCTTCTGGTTCAACGGAGCCCGTGGCTGCTCAAAATTCGGGTGAAACTAACGGAAATCGCGTCGATACGCTATAATCGTAGATCGGGAGAGAGAAAACGAGGCGGCGGACGGGGGTAACGAGATGTAGCAAGACAGACGAGAGAGAGAGAGAGAGAGAAGGGGGCACGGGGGGGAGCAGGCATGCAAAAGAATTGGAGCCTGACCGACTGATGGGCCGGTCGATTCGGGACTCGATCGAAAGTAAGGCTCAACGAGAGAGACGGCGAAGGAGAGAGGCGAGGGACGGAGCGCGGTGAACCGAGAGAATCGGAAGTGGCGAGCAGCAGGAGAGCATAGAGAAAGGCCATTATCAGGTCGAGAGTAGCCGGCGATATCGAGTCGCGTGTCTAAGACGCCGTCTGTAAACGGTCGTTCAGCAGCTGGCCGATCGATCGAGCGCGTGTCGAGACCGGCGTGATTTCTCCGCGAAAAATGGAGGAGGATCCGAGCGACGACGGATGACGGTGTGGAACGGCGAGCGTGCGGAAGAAAGAAGAGATGGCCCCCGAGAGAAAGAGGCGGCGTTCACCTACATACGAGAGACGCGGCAACGAAACTCGACGTGTCCGCGGGCACCTTACGCACTTGCTCGATCCGTCGTCATCCTCATCGTCCTCGTCGGGCAGTGTACGTATCTGAGCGTGTAAAGGTGCGAGCGCGTGAGAGAGCAGCGGGTACGTAGGACCAGTCGGTGGACATACGCTCGGGAAGTAAACCAGGCCGAGCAGACCGATCAGGCCAGTCAGCATCCGCGCAGAGTCTTTTCAAGGTGCGCCTAACACTCTCTACCGTGCCGGAGAAAAAGTCGATGCCCCCTCGGCCGGCCCCCTTCGTCACGCGGGTACACGTAGCGTCCGTGTCCTCTTCGCTCTCCGTCGCTCTCTCCGCGCTGCTCCGTCGACGACCGCACGCGGATTCGCCGCTCCTCCGAAACGCACCGGCGACCAGGTGGTCCCGTTCCTGATACGCCGGGGCCCTTCCATGCTCAAGTTCCGAAAGTCGTCTCTCTCGTCGCCCGCCTTTCCTCGTCGTCGCTAGATACCACCAGCCCTTCGGCGCTCAGCGAAATTTCAGGAATCGCCCGTCGGACGAAATAGGGCAGACTGAAACGGTTAGTTTGCTCGCGTTTATCTTGGCAACGGACAACTGAATGGGTTTTCGTCAAAGGAAACGAAACTTCTAAGCAAATTTCGCTCCGGAAACTCTGTTCCCTTCGACCAGAACGCGTTTGGTCGTTCCTTCTCAGGTAGGTCTGACCAAACTCATTTTCTCGGCTGAAATCTTGGTTCTATGTTAAGTATTGAATTCTGCAACATTGTAGGAGCTAAGGTAGTAAATGGATTCAATTTCAAAATTCTGATAACATTCTAGTAACTACTTCCTACTTTGACACACTGAAAGAAATTATAGTTATTTTCCGCCTCAGTTGTGTTCTTTTTCGACTCTTTAGAAATAGTAATAACAATATACATGTAAAGTTTTTATTATTATTGACGTTATTTTAATATTTGCTGGAAAAATAGTTCTCCTGATTATAATTTTCTTACCGTAGTGTATAGTTATGATATTATAATAATAAATATATTAAATATTTTGTTTTTAATAGACTCGGAAGAAATCTTAAATTTCCGTCTCCGTTGCTTCAGCATTAAAATAGATTGTTCGTAAGTAACATTAAAATTAAAACTGTACACTGAAAGAAGGATTTGGTAATAAGTACTAAAATTTGATGAATAATCGACCAAAATTTGCCGGCCGAGTATTCGATTACTGCAACTAAACGATTGAATTCCGTATACTAAATATACAATATACGGAACTACAGTATTATATATGCAATGTATGAAGCTAAATTACTTGGTTGCAGTAATCGGATATTTGTTCGGCAAATACGAAATTTTAGCGCTCACTACCAAATTCTTTCTTCAGCGTGCACGAAGAGAAAAGATCGGCCGAATTACTGTGACAATGAACGAGCTGGCTGAAAGAGACAGAATTTCTCGTTATAAGAATCAAACCTAATCTGAGATGCTTCATCTTCAAGCATGAAGCGTTCGGTTCGTTCATCGTCATCACGTTGATTCAAGCGGTCTTGTTCTTCCGTGTAGAATTCAGGGCTCGGGAGAGGAGTTAACAAGCGCAGTCAGCATCGTCAAAGTAGCTTCTTACTGGTCTACGAGCCATCGGAACTATCTCGAAGAGCGTCGAAGTAGCACCGGATTTCGACCCGGGGCTCCCGATGTAGGCCGGCGCGCCGGAATTAGCGCTGGCTTCCCGGGTTTACGTCGAGTGCAAATTTATTCGCGTGAAAGTACTAATGTCGCTGCTTTCCTCAGTGGCGCGTAAACGATTCAGAACGGTGCATGGGAGGATGTGCCCGTATATCCGGTGCGTTATCGCGAATGATAACAACGATAATGGCAATAATAATAGTAATAACAACAACGATATCGGCCACCGAAGAAAAGAAAAGTCAAATGGTACAGAGAGTTTCTGCGGAAGGATGCGAGGCAGTAGCGTTGCGGCCGTCGTTACGTCCTCACGGAAAAATTATCACGATTAATGAAGTAAAGTTGAAAGTTAACGACCGCTTTCGAGACGTCCCTTCGCCATTGTTCGCGTCCTCGCGAGCGTGTCATCTTGCGCAACACGATTCGTTCATTCATCCGTGCGTCGATCCGTGTCCTCCTGGCTCGTTCCTCATTGCTTTTTCCTAACGATGCGCCTCTCATCTCTCTTTCGAATGGACTCCTTCGAATCATGGACGAGGGGAGAGGAAGGAAGAGACGTGGAAGCGACTAATCGCTAGGCAATAAGAGGAGTCGTGCGCGGAATGACGCGCGAGCGCGAACGGAGAAGCAGGAAGAGGCGATGATGAAAGGTGAGAACTTTCGTTTCGCCCATTCACGTGTGCAAGGTGCGAACCTTCTCTCTCTCTCTCTCTGCCTTTCTCACCTTCCTACTTTGCACCGATGGAGGTTCGGGGAAAAGCAAGGACCGCGATAACGCGGCTTTACCAACCCGCATAACACGATGCATAACGACGGGCATAATAACACGCGCGAAAATGCGCTCGCGCCTGCCTGCATGCACGTTCGTTCCTTCGCGGCGAGAAAGAAGCGAGGAAACAAAGAGAACAGTGTCGAGGCTGATTTCGGCACGATCCGCGAATGAAGAAGAGCTGGTTTTGTCGCGAACGACTATTTCCTTCGTTTCACGAGCGACGGTCGGAGCAGAGGCGGTAGGACGAGATGAGGAGCGACACGGGGCGGAAGCAGAACAAGCAGGAGAGCGAGAACTCGCAGGTACGAAGGCTTCACTTCGTGGGGGCCTTGACCTGACCTCGATCCTCGGACGAGTTCACTCTCGCCGGCGTCGACGAGAGGAAAGTGTTCCATCAGCAGGAACGCGCGCGCACGGCTGCCACCCGGCTCGGCCTATAGCCTCGTCCGTATTAGCGTTTTAGTTTGCGCGACGCATACATCAGCTCGATTTGCCGCACACCAGCCGACGAAACTTTCGGATTAGCGTGCCGGTGGTGGACGAGAGGATCACGGGACGCCAACGTGTCTGCCGACGATGTGGCCGCGGTAATCAGAGATGCGCGGGGCGAATAAGCGTTTCTCGCGTGGTACGCCGATGAGAGAATGAGGAGAGAGAGAGAGAGAGAGAGAAAAAACAGATCGCGGAAACAAAGTGAAAGTTTCTCGGGACCCCCACCGCAATTGATGTACCTGCTCGCGAGAGTCCGCGAATAATGCTAATTTTGAGAGAGCAGCAGCGGAAACGCGCAGCGAGCGCGAGGGAGGAGATACGCGCGTTGTCGTCTTCTCCCCCCGTTGCGCCACCACGACCACCCTTACATGATCGGTTTTGCGACGAATTTCGAATTTCCCGGATTTTTCCCGGTCAGAAATACCGACGTAACGCGCACACCAAGAGAAAGAGTGTCTAAGAAATCACAAATATTTGTTAGAAATCAAATATATTTATTCGTTCGAATATATTAATCAAATAAATATGTAATAAAATTTATTTATTACTAATTAAATATACTTATTTGGTGAGTATCAATAACATATTTATTATGCAAAGATATTAATTTTGCACTGAAGACAGATTTTTTAAATGAGAAAATATACATTTTTCTTAAATATTAAAATATAAATATTAATTCATGAAAACGATAAGTAAATATATTCTATTTAAATAAAAGGCTTAATTAAATGTAGATTTAATAAATAAATATTATTGTTTAAATAAATATTGTAATTAGTGCTCACCGAAGAAGTATCTCGTATTTTTCGATATTTTTCTCTCAGTACACAGAAAAACAGAACTCGGTTTCCGCAATGGAATAGGGACCGGTTGAAAACTTTTTGGTAAGAAATTATGTCTTTGTTACCGCGATTGAGCATATTCGCTTAAGTGCTTAGCTGCATTAAAGCTCATATTAATAGTTGTCACTTAAAACATGTGAGATTTTAATTAAATGTTAGATCTGAATTTTTTAATTGAATCATATGATACGTTTGACGATATACTTGTAAACGCTTTTCAACTGAAAGACTCACATCTGACTCTGAATTCAAATCTAAGTATCTCACATGAGACAAGTTTTAAGTAACAATTATTAATACGAGCCTCATACTTGGTTGAGACAACTGAAAGCGATTGACTGAGCAGAAACTTTCCTGGGCTGCGTTCCAAAATTTTACTCGACGGGTAATTATTCAACCATGCTAAAGAAATCTTTGCTCTTTTGTCCTGATTGGTCAATTAAATGCTACCTGTCGAGTAGGATTTGGAATCCAGCTTTGTAGGAATATTTCTATTCCTGCAATCGGATTTTAACCTGATCCCCAGATATCGGAAAATTCACTCGAGTCGAAATTTTGGTCCCGTATTAAGTCTACTTAATTCTATATTGAGGCTTCAAGTGGAGAGGACGGAAATAACTTTCTATTTGTAACATCAAAGGAGCACAGTAGAAGACTTTTGTGGACTTTTGAAAACTTAACGTAGAACTAAAATTCGATTCTAGGCAGTTACACCGACGGAATCGTTTTTTTTTTCTCCGTGCGAATACGTCCGTGACAGGGTGTCCAAACAGCCTGAGCCATTCGGCTATAATTTCGAGAGAGAAAGAATAGCAACGGCGCCACCTTAAAAAACGTGATTGCGTGATCGTGAAGAGCTGCAAACATGATGATATTCTTCCATCGTTGCGCCACGACGGCTCGTGCAAGATCTGTCCTGTCACAAATCTCGTATGTTCTCAATTTTCCCCGACCACAAATTTAGCATAACGCGAGTGTGTCTGTGAGATATTTCTAACTCCGGCGAGAGAGATGTCTCACCGACTTCGAAGCTGATTTTCTATTTTTGGCCTATCTCCACCGTCGTGACGACACTCTCACGCGTACTCCAGGAGATACCGTTCCGCGTAGTCAAATTCTCCGATAAGGCACGTGAGGAAACGGGCCGAGATGCAGAGATTCGTTTGACCATTTTCGGGCCTGAAGCGCGGAGAAAGTCTGGGCCGCGCGCATCCGAGTTCTTCTCGGCGGGCTCGCGCGCGCGGATCGCCGGCAATGAAATACTTTTTCGCCTGTGTCTCCTCCCTTTTTCCGTCCTTTTTTCTTTCCTTTTCCTTTTTTCTCTAGGCGAGAAGTCTCTCTTCGGGGTCACGCTGCACGGAGGAGCGGGGAGAGGGCGAGGTGAGGCGCGGCTCGTCCTCCTCCTGGAGGAAGCCTGGCTCGGGCCCAACTCGCACGTACGACTCGCACGCCGTCGGCGGAGCGCGCTCACGCACATTCCACGTGAAAAACCGTTAAATGTTCCGCGCGACAGTCGCTGGAATACATTAATTTCAAAGACCATCGACTAGTCGGGCACCGTAGCGCTATCGATCGGCGCCGTCATCGCGACCTTAGCCCATGTTTTCGGGCCGCGCGATTAGAGCGCGATGAATGGACGACGTTCGCACGGCGACGATCGTCAGGGGAGAAATTGAGGAGGAAAGAATAATGGGGAAAATAATTAAAGGTGGGCGGCGGATCGAGCGGAATGCGATGTTGCGAGATATAATTATCCTCGAAATTTTGCCCCTACGTTAAGTCTACTTAGTTCCAATTTATTAAATCTTCAAGTGGAGGAAACGGAAGTAACTTCTCATTTGTACCGTCAAAGGAGCACGGATGGAAAACCTTTGAAGATTTAATATGGAACTAAAATTTCGGCTCGGGATTATCCGACGTCGTGGAGACAGACGCGTTATATTAGGCGTATAGTTTCAAAATTGAAAAGAAAAATCGATTTTCCAAATTTTCCTTCGGTTTCTGTCCTGAGGGCGCAGAAATTCGTCTAGGAAAACGAGAGGGAAACATTCACGTGTGTTCGGATGAAACCAGCCGCGTTTGCTATTTTTCCGTAAGAAAGAGTAAGGAAGGAAAAATCCGGGAAAAATTTCGGGGGGGCCTAGGCTTTTCCGGAAACATGAAAACTATGAGTGTGTAGTACACACATATGTATGTAGAACGAAAATTATACTAAAAAATGCGACCCCGATAACGCGACGGAAGAGACTCGCGTGCCCATGACAAGCGGTACACTTCCCTCTCGCGCGAGGGGGGAGAACGTTAGGAATGTCGCGATTCCGGATAATAAAGAGAGAATTGTGTGAGCTGGTAGCGTCGCGATCGAGTGAGGCGTTCGTACATCCGGCGCCGGCTCGTATAACATTATAAACACGTTGGAAAGTTGATGTGACGGTGTATGAGGCGACCCGTCGTCGTAGAGCGTCCACGTGGCGTAGAGCGTGTAGTACCCAAGGCATGATATACCTTCCTGTTGAAAGCGAAATCGCAACTTATCCCCCGCGCTCGGCCAAATATAGCCGCCGCTTCTCTATCGCTGCACGACGCGACGGTGTCGCGGAGCGTGTCGTCCAGGGTGCGCATCAATTAGAGATCCAGCGGGGTGCGGATTGTCCGCCTCGGGGGCCGAAGGGAGGTGCAATCCGAGCGGAAATTTTGATGCTCTGATATGGATAACTTGCAGCTATTTACGTGGTCTACGGACGAATAAAAAAATCTACGCAGAGGAAAAGATTTCTTTGGGTTTAGTATATGTGTTTGTTTGACTTCGGTTCGTTTAATATAAACGATGCAATTTAATGTTAAATGTTACTTTGTTCGAGTGAAAATATTATATTATTGTTTTACTAGAATCAATGTTATTTGATAGGAAAAAACGGTGCTGTTTGGAGGAAATAATATTTAATTTTGAATTAAAAAAAAAATTATTTTTCTACATATTAAATATTGTATTCCATCGAAACGAAAAGAAGTTCTTTAATATTTTCCTAACATGATGTTATCTCTTTCATATAATTTATTGCTTGTGACAATTATTGAGATGTTTGGATGGAAATACAAAAGAAATATATTATTTGAAGTGTTTAAATATATATTGTTTCAGAAGGTAAACAATTCTGTTTGTTGAATCAAACATTCGTTTGTTTACTCTATTCCAAGAGACAAATTTGTTTCAATTAAAGAAATTTGATGAAATCCAAAGAAATCTTTGTCTCTGTGTGCTTTGACGATATTGACACTTTAACTTCCCCCTTTAATTCTACCGATTTAATATTAATACTACCTTGAGAAGCCTATTTTGAAGAATAAAACCGGAAATTTAAGACATCATCAAGCTGAAAGTAGCAGTAAATTATTAAAATAAATAAAAAGCTCTGCCGATATTCAATCATTAATGAATGATAAACGAATAAAAGCCTAAGCACGATTAACGTAGCGCAATTTAATAGAGTAATTGTTTGACATAATAATGTTACACGAGAGTATTAGTTTCCACAAAATACAAACGTTTCGGAGTGAATGATATTAGAATTGTGAAACCGAATTTTGCTGTCTCCTGTATTATAGAATTCAAAGTGCATGGAACATGGTGCCAAAATTTCGGGAGTTCATCGACGAAATGAACACTCCGGCTCCTCTCTTTCTCTCTCTCTCTCTCTCTCTCTCCCTCTCTCTTTCGCCCCGTTCGGGGACTAATTACGACAGGCGAGTCAATTCGCGAGTCATTCCGGCGGTCGTTCGGTGACAGAGGAAGGGAGGAAGAGACAGAATGAAGAGCCGAGAAAGACGGTGAAGAGGGTACATGCCAGGTAATTCATGCAACCGCAAATAATTCATCTTTAATGCATGGCGCTGCGCATGTGTCTCTTTGAAAGTTCTCGCAAGTAGGCAATTCCCTCGCAAGTGGCAGCTGTACATCGAGCGTTCGAAGTGCGAAAAGCGAGATTCGAAGACGCGTCTCTCTCTCTCTCTCTCTCTCGCGGCAAAAATTTCGCGCGAATATCGCGCAGTCGTTTAGCGTCCGATAACCCGTCATCGATCACGCCGGCGGAGATTCGCGAGATCGAGCCCGGGAAATCGACGAGACCGAGTCGACAGGTTCTTTCCGAGCTTCTTCCCGAAGGACGCATCCCGCTCGGAGGGGGATCGCTGCTCCCGACGGTGCTTTTGACCCGTGCCGAAATGTTCCCCTCGATCTCCTCGGAGAGGAGAGAAAAGTGGCCAGCGGTGCGTAGGCACACATCATCTTTCTCTCGTTTTCTCTCTCTCTCTCTCTCTCTCCTCCTCTCCCCTTCGCGCGATTTCTCGCGGGTGTGCGTGCGCGCTCGGTCGCGCGTGTGTGCGAGCGAGCGAGCGCGCGCTACGCACACGCACAGGGCGGGTTTGTCGGGGGCCAACACACCCGTTGTGTACACAAACGACCTAAGTAAGTAGGCACACACGGAGAGGAGAGTCGATGGAGGAAGGACCAGCGCGCGGTGTGGAGGCGCGTCAACGAGAGAGACGCACACGACACGAACGGAACACGACCGCCTGGAGGAGAACCAATAGCTCGTATGGCTTGGTAACCCGGCGGGGCGGGCGGGGGCCGGCCGGTGGGGGCCATCAAAATTTCAAAAACGTACGCGGGCCCCTTTCGCGACGAGGATAAAAGGCAGCAATCGTGATTCTTTCGGGCAGTGTCGATACGATCGCCGTACTCGTTCGAGCATCAACGAACGCGCGAGAGAACCAGCGAGAGAGAGCCAGGGAGTTGATTATCGCAAGGCGGCGCGGAGAGGAAGGGCAAAAGACAAGAAGCACCAGTGAGGATCAGTTACGATAAGAGTCGGAATTGAAAGTCGGCGCTCTTCCACCCTCTCATCGTATCGTCTCTTTCTCTCTCTCTCTTTCTCTCTCTCTCTCTCCCTCTCTCTCGCTCTCTCTTCAACAGACCCGACAGGGATCTCTCAAGATGTTCAGACTCGCGATAATCGGCGCACTCTTCGTGGTGGTATCCGCTTTGGCCGCACCGGCGGCACAGGACGCGACGCCACCCTCGGTCCTCGAGGAAGCCCTCGGCGTGTACGCTTCCTGCTCCGGGGAATCGAGCGTCGCGGTGTGTCTCAAGCTGAAGGCCCTGCGCTACGTCGACCGGGCCGCTCGCTCGGCCGACATCGAGATCATCGACGGATTCAAGATCGTGCAGACCGAGGAGGCGAAGAACAGGTAAGGGCCGCGGTGAGGACTCGCGGGGGACTGTGATGACGCCGCGTGTTTCGGGATGTATCGCGTATACGCCGAGTGAAATTGGGACGTGAGAAACGCGCCAGGTGACCCGCGTGTGGTGGAACGCGTGAACGAGAGAGAGTCTCGCGCCTCTCTCGAGTATTTTCAGCGACGAGTGCACGAGATATCGCCCGTATGAACGAAGAGGCGTCCGGAGGATACGACGGCGGATTATTTGACGATCGGCCGGTCTGACGATTACCGGGCCGCCGAGCGTTCCTCGGCACGCAACCGGGAGTAGCGCAACTCGTCGCGCATTCCCGCTTCTAATCGCGAGGGGACGCGAGTACTACCTTAATCTCGGTTGGGCACTCGGTCGAACGGTACGGAGAATCGCCGAGGGGACGGAACTCGCGAGGATAGGTTTACGCTAATGGAGCGCGATAAGAACGGACTTGTCTCTTTTCAGCCGCGCTGACAACGCGAGGTCTCTCAACGACATCGAGAGCACCTTGCCAGCCGAGACCGAAGCCAAAGAAGCCGCGATCGACCAGGCCCTCGTAGACAGAGCCGCTAAATTCTTGTCCACGCACACCGTCGAGCTCAGCCTGCCCGAGGATGTCTCCCGCTCCTTCGACGAAGGTAAGATTTCCCGTTTTCCCGATCTTTCGCTATTCAGAATGGAAATACAAACGGGACAGGTTGACGCTTTCGAAAACGGGATTTCGAGCATTTCAAGCAGAATAAGAGAAAGGGAGAAGTGAAATTGGCTGCAAAAAATACAAAGTAACAAAGTAAACTTCAAGATGTGCTACTAATGTAATGAAATTTAAGAAATTACACTCCGATAACGATGCTTGCGGCTCGCACAAACGAGGTACGATCTTGATTTATCAGAAAGTTAAAATGACAAATTAAAGATGTTTATTTAAAATCACCAAATCGAGAATAATTGAAACAAATGTGAGGACGTATTTGAATATAACCGGGGCGCGTTGATTGGAATTACATTTGCTTATTGAGAAGAAAAACACGGCAGGAAGCTGCATTCCGAAATAACGTTGCAGCTCGTGGGAAGAAGAAGAAAATCGTGAAATCGCTGATGCCGATTCTCCTGCTGCTGAAGCTGAAGGCCGCCGCCCTGATCCCGATCGCTCTCGGCGCCCTGGCTCTGGTCGCCTTCAAGGCCCTCGTAATCGGCAAAATCGCCCTCATCATCAGCTTGATCATCGGCCTGCAGAAGCTGCTCGCCCAGAAGCACCACGGCTACGACATCGTCGCTCACCCCGTGCACTCGTACGGACACGACGAGCACGTCCACCACGACCACCACGGCTGGGCAAGGTCCGGCGCGGACCTCGCGTACAACGCGTACAAGCCCTCTGAATAGCTCAATGCCTCTCGTACAACTTCCCTCCCCCTTAACTCTCTACCTTCATTCGCCAAAGTGATCGTCTCTAACCCCGGCGGTCACCCGAGGGTGGCGTGACCCAGCTCTTCTCAGGGATCCGCGGACGATAGACTCTCAGCTCTCTCGAAGACCACTCCGCGACGCAGGAACGAGCGTGTCCTTCGGACAAGGAGCTTCGCTGATGCATCCTGCGCGGATTTAAACGGCAACACTGCGATACGACGATTTACGACGACTCGACTCGATGGCTGACGACGGGGATGCCGCGTCGACGCGCACGACGAAGCCCCCGATAATCTTTGACGACGAGGCTCATCGACCGTGACGACGGTGACGACGACGATGACTACGACGCACGACGAAAGACTGCACTCGTGAGGTTGATTAGAATCTCGAAACTCTCTTCTAGAACGGTGACCTGTTCTCACAGCGGTCGCGCCCCCTCGATCACTCGCGCGGTATCCTTTCAGAGTCCTCCGCGTCTAACCCGCACGCGGAACGACTCGTAGTCAGTGCTCGCGCGAGACCACCAGATTTAATCCAATGATTATTTATATATCGATCACCCCAGCCGGGATCACATCATGTAACTTATCGTATTATTTATAAATAAATTGTAATTTTATAAAATATATAGAAAGGCGGACACCCTCTTTCTGCTTCTTTACCCTCGAACAGTCCCGATCTTTCAGCGAAAGATTCAGCGTCTCGCAAAGTGCGCGGAGATAAATAATTCGTTGACTCTGCGCGACTCTCAGCGAACTTTATCAATTATTAAGTAGACGGCGAAACGACTTGTTAAGAGTACTAATTGCCATTTGCTGGATTGTTTGTTGAATCTACAAATTATCTTGCAGTGAGAACAGATTAGTAAACATAGGGAAACACTGTTTTATTCTGTCAGCAAATTAACGTGTCTTCAAGACAAATTCACCGAGCAGAGTTTTTCCATCCTGGCAACAAAACTGTTTCTGCTCAAATTATGAATAATTTGTGTTAATCAGGTTAGATTTGAATTGATCTGGTTGGGTGAACTAAATTATATCGCTGTCGCGACGAATATGCAGTAGCAACAATAGTTTCGTTACAACAGCAACATTATTTTCTCTGTGTATAAATCGCATAAATTAAAAAAAAAATGTTAGATTTTAAATTAAGAATTTATCTTGATAGAATGAAGAAATTGTCGAGCGGAAACGAGTAGAGATTCGACGATCGCGTCTCGATAAAAATACGGATTTTTTGAGGACACATCGCGAGCCGACAGCTTCGAATTCAGGGCTTCGACCGCATTCAATGGCATTCTTACGCTTCGACTGTCCCGGATTCACTCACACGTGAATTATATAACTTATCGTATTATCTCTCGGGGCACAAGGGGGCTATAATTTCATAACCGCAAATTTCATTTTTCTTCATGAAAACTACAATTTTGAACATCCACAATAAGCTACCAAACGTTGAAAAGAAACTACCAAACGATTGCTAACAGTCAAATTTAAGTAGGATGCCGCAGAAGAAAATTTCTAGGCAGGGGGGCCAATTTCACACTACCATCTGTCGACCTGTCATCAATCTGTCATTTTATCGTATACTTGGCGTCGCAGTACTATCGTGCTACTTGATAAATTACTTGCGATTTCATATAATATATATCGGCGCACGATGGACTCTTTTTAAGTTCACCATCTTTAAATTTATATTTCTTCGTCGCAAGAAAATAAATTTCTTTATAATTAAAAAATCGGTTTTTAATCACCGGAAAGAACAAGAAAAAATTGTATAAAAAATTGGTTTTTTTTTGCGAAAAATTACTTTTTTGTTTTCGTACGTTAAATGGCGAGAGAAGAGATCTATATTATTTTTTGCATTTTGGCGCATCAACGAATTTGCAAATTGCAACGAAATTGTGTTAACAATTTCTCTGTTTTTTTTTTTCTTACAATCGATTTTACTTGTAATTCTACGTATAAAAAGATTAAGGTGAGATTATCGAAAAGTGAATAATAAATAATTTATAAGCTATTTTATGTCCTATACTGAAAAGTGTCAGGATAAAATATAAAATATCTCGAAAAGTATATATTTTTCGACGATTTTACCGCAGTACTTTTATACGTATAATGGTCGGAGGAATCAATTTCTATTATGAAAACCATATAAGTTCAGTAAAAAATTTAAAGTTGACCTTGAAATATTAACTTCATTTAACTTCAGTTAAGTGCGCACAATTATCTTCTTTACGGAAAGAAATAAATGTGGCGGGTTTTAACCGGACACAATTGAATTTTAGTACCTTCACGAAAAAATCGAAAATATTCGCTGAAAAATGGAGAAACCTTGGTTTCTCCAAACCTCCCGAACTGTAAATCTCTCGTAAAGTGCGCGTCTTAAAAACGATCTGAAAGGATGAAAAAATTACAGGGCAAAAATGAACGTTGATTCAGCGATCAGCGGAGATAACGTCGATAGGAACCCGAATTTTTGAAGGGCGCGTCGCAAGAGCCGAGAACTCCGAGTTCGGGATCCCGTACGCATTAAACATCGTCCTTATATTTCGGCCGTCCTGGATTCACTTACGCGAATTCGGCAATTATGTCCGCGCTACTTGCGCTCCTCAATCTTTTTCGTCCAGCTATCATGCCTGTCTCATCAATCTGACGGCATAACGATCTTCCCGACGCTCCATTCTTCGCCCGGCGGAAATTACTCTCCACGGGTGCATCCGGTGTATCGACTACGAGCACCTGCCGAGCGTACGCCAAATACAAACGAAGTGTACTTTCGCTGCTTGTAAAATCCACGGAGTGAAACCAATTGTTCTGTCGTGTGTGAACGCCCCCTTGTCGCCTATATAGGCGGGTGATCGCGGGTTCAGAGTGAACAGTATTTTACGGGAACCGCGGCCAACCACTCCGCTTTCTTTCCGTTCGCGAGAAGTACGATTCGTCTTCGAACAAAGAGGATTAACAAATAAACGAGGAGGAAGATAACAATTCATTATAATGCTCCGTTAATTCGAGAATGCGTGATAAACATCCCCGAGAGGCTTCTCGAGTCTTACGTCATTTTAGGATGTGAATAATCTGTTCGTGCCCCGCGACGGAATCAATTCAGCCGTGCGGAAGCTTGCTCGCTTCGCTATCCGAGTTCTTTCTCCACTTTTTTCTCGATGTTCGCTCTCGTTTGCGTACACCTCGCTTGAGATAAGGCATCGACGATGAAAAGCGAACTGCTCAAGCTCTGCCTGCTCGTGCTCGTGTCCACGGGTATCACAGTGATCATGGAGCCGAGGGAGGTTCCTTTGGACAATCCTCGCGGCTTCAACGAAGCTTTCGGCATGTGCCTGGCAAAGAAGGAGCACGGCACGTTCGAATGCGTGAACCGCGCCATCCTGAGCGCCTTGCAGTCCTTGAACGATAAGGACAGCTTGGAGTTCGGCAAAGTGAGGCTGGACAGGGCGGAAGGCTACGGCAGAGATCTCCTGGACCTGGACTACGACCCGAAGGACTTCGGGAACGTCATGAAAGCGGCGGCCAGACTGATGGAACGGCGAAACGTCAAGTGGAATCTGGACAATCTGTACCCTGGCCTGCAGATGCGCGTCGGTCCGATGCTCAACGGCGAAGGAGTGCTGGAATTCGTCCTTAACGAAAGGGCTGCTTCGTACGGCGACAGGCAGGCTGGTCCCGGTAGGTTGTTGAACGAATGTTAGGGGCTTGCGAAAGTTCATCGAGATCCGTGAAGATTTTCCAACCTGACCTGTAGAATCGTAGTACAGTAACGAAACAGACGAATAAGGGAAGATGCTGTACTTTGGACCCATATCGATTTCAGCGCTATCTACACGGAGAAAATATTATGATAAAAATCACCATAAAATTTTGTAATGCCGGATTATACCGGAATTATGACTGGAATTATTATGTGTGCTGTAATGTTGTAATTTCAGTTATAACTCCGACATGGTACAACATTATAAAATTTTGTGATAATTCTTACTGCAATATTTCTTTCATGAAACGATTTTTTCGTTTTGCTAATGTGGCAATTTAATCCGTTTGCTGACACAGACAGGAATTCTGGCGATAAACACGAATTATCGCATTAACAAAGCAAAAAAGTTATTAAACAAAGAGCTGGAATCAGCATGGGATCCAAGATATAATAAGTATGCGGAGAAAGTATTGTAGTAAAAATTATTAGAAAATAATTTGTAACGTTGGATTATGCCAGAATTATGGCTGAAATTATTATGTGTGTTGTAATCTTTAGTGATGCGTCCAATGAAATACGAGGTCTGTTCAAAAAGTATCGCGAATTTTGTGTTTTTTCAAAAATTATTTATTTATTCATGAATATCTATTTTGTCTTCTTCAAAGTAATCCCCATCAGATATTATACACTTGTGTACAACGTTTTTTCCAATCCTCGAAGCACTTCAAAAAATCATTTTTTGTGATCTTGTTCAGCTCCTCTTTCGATGCCGTCTTTATCTCATCAATCGTAGCGTAGCGTCGTCCTTTCATGTGCCTCTTCAGTTTCGGGAACAAGAAAAAGTCACAGGGGGCCAGGTCTGGGGAATACGGTGGCTGCGGCATCATTAGTATGTTGTTTTTGGCCAAAAATTCGCGCACGAGCAACGATGTGTGAGCAGGGACGTTGGTACGAATTTCGCGACGACCCGTCTCATGCCCAAATCATTAGTAAAAATCGAATGGCACGAGCCAATCGATATGTTTAGGTGCTCAGCAACTTCTCTAACTGTGATTCGACGATTGGCCAATACTATTTTCTTCACTTCATCAATGTTTCCGTCTGTTGTTGACGTGCTCGGGCGTCCGGCACGCTCTTCGTCCTTCACATCTTCTCGGCCCTCTGAGAACATTTTGTACCACCGATAAACGTTGCTTCACCATATGCCATAGTCAACATTCGGAATGCGTCCGCGTACTTAATTTTGTTTTTCACACAAAATTTGATACAGATTCTTTGATCCATTTTTTGGAATAGGCAAAAATCGAAGACGAGCCAAAACACGTCCAAGCAAAACAGCTGTCAAAGATAAACTGAATATTCCAAATGGCCGAACTTGTCGGCATAAGTGAGGGACATGAGTACCAACATAACGCCACAAAAAAATCGAAAATCGAATATACGTAACCCGCGGAAATTCAAAATTCGCGATATTTTTTGAACAGACCTCGTATATCATTAAAGATTACAACACACGTAATAATTACAGTTATAATTCCGGTATGGTCCAGCATGACAGAATCTTATAATAATTTTTACCACAATATTTCCTCCGCAAGCGCTTCCTCTAAATACACGTATTCAATCAAAGTACAAATATGCAAATTCCATCATTATCCGGCACTTTTACCTTTCAGGTAATTAATTGCACGTCGTAAAACGACTTCTGCAAGCCCTTAACATTGCAAAGACGACCTCTCGGAGGTGTTCAGCTTGAGAATCTTCGGCGAGGTTGTCGTCCCGGTCTGCTCGGTTGGTTTCCCGTTTAAGGGAAACGTGACCGTGGACGGATAAAGCGATGTCGTAATAACAACGCGCAATCATAACGAGTCCCCTTACGGAATAATCCGAGTTACGAGGAACGGGAGGCGACCGCCGCGAAAGATTGCGGCTCGTTACACGCGAAATTACCTGGGCGCGGGGCCCGCTCCATCTTATAACGCAGAAGCGAACCTCGCAGCGGCTCCTCGCAAGTCGCTAAGAGGCGACGGCCAGCTGCTTCCGAGAACGTCCTCCAGTAGGCAGCACGGTCAAGGCCACCGACCTTGCCCGTCGTGGATTCACGGTCGACTTGTATTCGTTTCCAGGTAAGCAGCTCGCGCGGCACGTACTGCTGCCGTTTCTCCTAGGTTTCAAGTTCAATCTGGCCTCCTTGATCCCGCTCATGTTCGGCTTCCTGATGATCGTCACGAAGAAGGCGCTACTGCTGACGAAGGTGGCGTTGTTCGTGAGCGGCCTCCTCGGGTGGAACACGCTCTTCTCCGCGGCCTCGCCTCCGCATCCGCCGTTGAACGGGTTCAATGGCTTCCACACTTACGCGCACGAAATACCGATAGACACGCACTACTATCACGATCATTACTTCCCGCATCGGCCTTACCGAACGCTACCGCCGTCGGAATTCAGTCCTTACGATCAGCACGTCATCCGGGAAGTCGTCAACGTTTACGACGGCAGCGGCGATCTGGAGCAGGGCAAGCAAAATCCGAAGAACTTCGCTTGGAGCAAGAACATTTAACCGGAAATCAAAGGCCAATGGGGGCCTTATGCGTCGTTTAAATTGCGGTCTATCTCACCTCAGGAGATTGAACGAATTAACGAACAAACGTGTTGGTCTCGATCTCAGATTCTTATCAATGATGATCAGATAATTAGTATATTGGGAGAAAAAATATCTAAAAGTGTATAATATTTATTCGGTGAGTACTAATGAAGCTTATTTACTTATTCCAGAGAGGAAAAGAGATCGAAATATCTTTTAATAAATACCTTTTTTCTCTAAGCCTTGTACAAAATAAATGTTTCAGACTGATATTGTAGGGATTAATGGTATTTTTCGATAACATCACCTTAATACTTTTCTATATAATAATATGAAAGAAATCGATTGCCAATATTAATCATTGTATATCGGTGTATCTATGAAAATTTGCAATATGCAATGAATTTTTTAAGGTTTCTTCTACGTATAAATGTTAAGATAATATTATTGAAACATGAATACTTTATGATATTCCATATCTTATACTTAAAAAAATAGGAATATTAAGTAAAATATCTCGAAAAATATTTACTTTTCGATGATCTTATATTAGTACTTTTATATGCAAAATGAACAGAGGAATTGATATGTGTTAAAGAAAATACGTGAATCTATTAAAAAAAAATAAAATTGATTTTGAAATGACCTTGAATTATTGACGGTACGACGAAAATAATGTCACCATTTTATGTCTCCTCTTACAACTTTTCAAATCCTACAACTTTTGTCTGATATATTATTTCGTACAAGGTGTAGGAAAAAATATATTTAAATAGAAATATTTTAATGACCCATTCTACGCATATTTTTATCGAGATATTTTTCAAATAAGAAAATATATATTTTCTTAAATTTGTAGATTTGTATGAAGACAATTGTTTATTTTATTTAAATAAAAAATTGTATTTAAATTTAAAAATCTAGATAAAAAAATTAACATAAAAATCTAGATAAAAGTCGAGATAAAAATCAAGATAAAAATCAAGATAAAAACCTAGATAAACTCTAGATAAAAATCTAGATAAATATCTAGATCTAGATACAAATTCTTATCTAGATAACTTATTTGTGTTTATCTAGAACTATATATATAGATTCTAGATTTATCTAGATCTAAATATATTTATACTTAAAAATTTATATTTTACTATTATCCATTGAACAAATATTTATTTTCCCAGTATACAAATTGCTGTAACCGCGCACAGACTTTAATTGATCCTCGATTTCTTATTAGATCCTGAAAATCTGATCTTCTTTTGTAAAAGTTTCTTATTGGCGGTATTCATTGAAGCATATAGATGTAATGAAATTTAGACGAACGCGGTCTTTACCAGCGAAGTAATCTACAAACTATTATCTTCATTCTATATTTAGGTTTAGCACTGATTCTAGCATTCTGTTCAATTATCTTGTAGAATGTAGGAGATGCCCTCGATTGATTATCGCGTTACTGAGATAAGTAGAACTTTATGGATTTCTAGTTTCTAAACTTGGCTTAACTCGGCAACGCTATACCGATAATTCCGAGCATCTTTCCGTTCACAGTAGTCGTCTTGCGTAAGTATTTGAATAAACAACATCGATACGAGTGTATATAAAGCCGGATATTGTAAAACTACCGTGCGCTTTTCTCAAACAATTAGTTTTCCCTAAACGACGGATTTTCATCTAAAAGAGAAAGCAGGGCAGTTTTGAATTATTCCGTGCGATACCTTCGTTTTGTTGCATGTATTCAACGATTAAACCGACAAAAGCTGATTTTATGCTGAGAAGCGCCTCACGTTCCTCTTCTCTATCTCATAATTTTATGCAACGAACACGGCGTAATTCCTTCACCAGCCAAGCGTGCATTTTATCAATCCACGGGGAGAACTATCGCGATCTTGCCTCCTCGCCCGCATTGTGCAATAATGATCTTAATTATGAATTCACTGTCGGTTTCAAGGTATCTGTCCACCGGCAGTCAAGGTTCGTCACCGAGCGATCCTTCGCGTTTTCACTCGGCGGCGCCATTAGTCTCAGTCCATTATTGTATCGTCCTCTCTTTCGGTCGTCTAACTGTACCGGTTCGCTTTTTCTCCGTCGCTCTCACACCGCACCATCCGCAGGAACGACGATAGCTACATCCGGGAAACATGCGTTTGCTCGTAAAGGAAAAATACTACCGTGTCTTTACGGTCACGCGAATGCATGTACCACCACGTGCCCATAATTTCTTCTGTCAGGTGTAACAATCAAGGTGAGGGTACATCGATGCACGCTCGCTCGCGAACAGTCGGTGGAAAAAATTTTTCGTCGAGCCCAAACCGCTTTTCTTCTTCGTCGTCACCTGTGAGATCAAAGCGCTCTCGTCGTACAATTTTTCGCATCGCCGCTGAATTTAGTAATTAGATACGCACTACGCATCGAGGGTAGTCATGATACCCGATATTCATCTAAATTTTCAGGCGGAAATATCAGTTCAAGTAACAACAAGAATAATAATAATAATAATAGCTTTTTTATGCTGATGATACGTACACGCAAAAAAATAATTTTGCTGACGTAACAAATCGTTAGTTATCATGGGAACAGCAAAAAGAAAAAAATTTATTTGCTGTCCCTAATAACTAACAATTTGTTCTGTCAGCAAAATATTTTTCTCCGCATAGGTGATCGCTATTTTCATGACGGAAAGAAAAGCAAGAAAGAAAGTATACGACGGAAAGAAACCTCGGCCGAGTGAGATTTTTCACTCTGCTTGGTAAAAGAAAGATCTTGAGAAAAGAGATAAATGAAACATGGATTTTCCGTGAGCGAGGAGGTATGTGGAAGTGTTGTTACCTGAGGAATAACAACAATGTCATTGTAGTCAGTGTCACATTGGGCAATGAGACCGTGAAGAAAAAAACCTCACGCTCGAACGTACGACGCTTTCTTCGCGATAATTACTGCCATCGTGTCATTAAGGTGGCGAAGAGTAAAGTGGATAATGAATACTTTGCTGAATACTTTGCTGAATCATTCGTAAGATTATCCTCTCGCTGATGTGAATGGAATTCGCCGGAAACGCAGAGGAAAAAGAGCGAATTCGGCTCGCACCGCGACCAGTAGCCTACATTTGGCGGAGGAAGCCGCGCGAGAGAGAATCGAATACATTGAACATACAGTGGACAGCGTTAATCAAGTCCATTATCCCGTAATTGCCCAAGTTGCTTTCCAAATGTAGCCCGTCACGCAGCGTAATCTGTGTCGGATTAACAGTATCTCAGCGCGTTATGTTAATAAGTTCTTCGCGGGACCCCGATTGGTCGTTGCACCGCGCTACATTGACGTAAGGTGCTGTTTAATGCTGTGAAAAAATTCCTACGTTAATACGTAATAATCGTAATTCGTTCACTCAATCATCATCCGATAATGCAGGCATGTATCGCTTTCGTGGCGATCAGCTTTCTGTTTCGCGTCCGCACTGACATTCCAGCAAAATTGCAAACTTTCTGCTTTAAAATGTGCAACACGGCGTGGTAATTAGCGAATTTGAAATTCCTCAGGACTAACGAAATGTGTGCGGATGGTGAAGTGCATCGCTATCAGCAATTCAATCTAGATTTCAATTCAGACGCTGCGCTACGATTTCTTGGTCAAAAATCAATTTTTATTTATCACTTTATTACTCATACTAAACACAATTCGGATTTGATCTCGTGCTCACGGCAATTAAAAACTCGACGAACGAATTTTTGGCTCGTGAGATTTAATTGTGAACAAATAATAAACAAATTATTGAACCTCTTCAGGAGTGAATTTCATAGAATCAGCAGGAAATTGTGGAATTTTGAAGTAACTTAAGAGAATTTTGTAGGAACTGGAATAAGCGATAATCCGAAGGTGCAAGGTCAGATGAATCCGGCAGGTAACGTAGGACATCCCAGCTAAGCCGCGTCAATTTCTGCAAAGAAATGTGAAATGTGGCGTTGTTCTGATGGAAGACGACACCTTTCCGAATGGCCAATTCCGGATGCTTTCCATTAATTACTGTCTTTAATCGGTCCAATTGGGAACAGTATCCGTCTGAATTCGATGTCTGTTGTGCGGAAGGAGCTTATGATACGCGATGCCCTTCCAATCCCATCGGATACATTCACAGAACACACAGAAGTATCATCTTCTTCGAATGCAGATTGGCTTTTGAAGTGGTTAATGATGGCTCATTTTGTTTTCCCTGAGATTTTCTCGCCCCACATTGTTGTGAACGATCCGCTTTACATCGCCCGTGATGGTTCGTTTAAAAAAAATGGATCGTTTCCGTTGCGTTTGAGCAGAGAATCGTTGATGGAAATACGGTCCGTTTAATTTTTTTTTCCGTTAAATTGTGAAGCACCGAAATATCGTAGCGATTCACGCATCCGAATATCTCCAAACGTCTTGCAAAGCTCATGAGATATGTAGAGTATTTCTGCGATATCCCGTGTCGTGAAACGTGGTTGGTGTGATTATTTTCAATTAGTGTTATGATTTGGTCATCATGAACGACTGCAGGCCTGCCGGAACATTCTCGGTCTTCCAGATGAAAATTGCCACTTCTGAACAGGCCAAATCACTTACGAACGGTACTCTCAACTACGGTACTATTTTCATAAACGGTACATATCTTTTTTCTTGTTTATACAGCATATTTTCCTTTCCGGAAATAAAAGGGCATCAAAAGACGCAGATGCATCTTATTTTCCTTAATTTTCACTTTTGACGTAAACACATTTAAAATTCACAAATCCATACACAAATCACAGAGAAAGACGCAATGAAATGTAACCTTTCAGAACATGTATATGCATATATATGTCATGTTTCAGCCATGTGTGAAACGAATTCACGTGTTCAAACGCCATCTATTGAAAAACGCTACGAACTTTTCTTCCAACCCAATATTATTCATTAATGCTGTATTTTCAGTGGCACATCAAAGGAGTCTCTCATAAATTTAGTTTATTAACCAAAATTACATTTCTATACATTTATTTCACTATTGAAATAATAAATGTTAATTTGAAACGAAGTTGAGGTAGACACATATATATATACACAATGTTACAAATATTAACGCAATATTTATGCATCAGTTGATTTAATAGAGATGCACAGATAAAAGATAGAAAGAGGTTTATAAATGTTTAAACATGCGCATATATGTATATATTTCGAGTATTATAAGTTATAAACTTTACATTGTATTTTCAAAGCAAAATAGTCAATAATTCTGAAATTTGTGTATAACGTTTCCATATTGATATCAATTTCCATCAAAATCTTAGTTTTAGTTTAGGAGATATTAAATATAGAAATTAAAACTAGTAATCTCAATAAAAAGTGTCAACTTTAGTTACAAATATTTCAGTTTTCGAATGGTAAATCTTTTTCTAATTATATGAACAATCATTTAGATAATGTGTACGCAGGGCAAGTTTCATCAAATACTGATCAAACTTATTTTAGTTGACACGCCTCTTTTAAAATGAAGTGGCTTTCGACTCGGGCTCCAAATTACTTAAACATTCGGTGTCACTTTTAAATGCAACGTAGATCAATTCCTAATTTTCTCATAATTTTTCCATTACCTTGAATTATTACATCCTTAATGCCGATCGTTCAATCGTTCGATCCGGATGTACATCGAACGACGTTGAGAAAAACACGAAGATCCGCCGAAAGAAATATTCCGGATTTGTGGTCGCTGTAGCTTCTATAATTTCCCATTCAGCATCGAATTAGATTGCCTGCCGGCTCGATGAGCAGGACAAATATTCCCGTGTTCTTCCCGTATTGTCTTATCCCGGGCAACACGCGAGGCTAGTCATGCGTGCAAATTGACGTACAGGCTCCTCGGCTCCGTTTCTTTCGGCGTATCCCACAATCATACAGCGGAGTGGAGCGTCGTCTGTTCTACCTGCGTTCCAATGCGATTCTGATACGTCGCTATTAAAGTCGGAGTTAGCACGGCGGTGTTTAAGGCTCGTTTGGTAAGTGGGTCAGAGGGATACTTACTTACGGGGCTGTACGACATTGTTTTGGTTGAGGGGGTCTCTCCTCCCGTTGTTGTGGCGTTAAACAGCGCGTGGATCTCAAGTACGAGCGAGTATCCTGAGAATTTTCATGCGCCTGGGTAGGAGAGGCTAAACGGCGCCGCGCGCGCGCTTATATAAGTCACAATGCACTAGGAGATTCTCACAATTAGTCGGCGGCGTTTACTGACCGGCTGACCAGAGCACCGGAGAGAACAGAAGTAGAGCTGGGCCGGACGCAGAGAAGCGCAAGAGAGCCGTCATTGCGCCGGAGAACAGCTGAGAGAGCAGCCGCGCGGACGAAGCGGATCGACGAGCTCTCTGAGACGCGTGCGGACAAGGAAAGGCTCGCGATCACGACGATGGGAAAGCGACGCTCGACAGTTTGGATTTTCCGTGCCCTTCAGCTCGCGCTCTTCTGCAACTTGGTGTCCGGCAAAAGTGAGTACTCGAAGCTGTTCGAGAGGTGCACCAGCGAGAAGAACACCTTCGACTGCTTCAAACAACGCGCCCTCGAGATCCTCGACTCGGCGATCCGCGACGATACCGTCTACAAGATCAACGATTACGTCTCGATCAGCAAGGATCCGGCGAGCACAGCGAGGAGCCAAGACCCAGCCGGGAACAGCACGGAACTGAGCCTCGATCAGAAGCTGGACAACAAGTTCTACGAATACCTGTCGTCGAGGAGCCTCAAGCTCACGATACCCGGCAATGCTTTCGAAGGTAGCGCCCCGATATATTCCGGAGCATTTATCAATTATTCATATATTAGGAAACGTGTACACATATACATATATGTATGTACATTTATATGTGTATACGCACGGTGCGTAGTTGTAATATTTTATTCGAGGTCGAAACCCACTTGATGAACTTACCAGTGATGCTTTTAATATGATATTATCATTTTGATAAAATAACGTTCCGTAAAATGTTATCCCTTTAAAGTGGCGTGATATGATACAATTTATGTATAATTGCACCGTGGTTTCATCCTTTTGCAAAGAAACAGATTGATTGAATTTACCGAAAATGGACAAACCAAACGTATTTTGGTTGAAGGAAATTCCGGTTAATCAGAATTTCTGGTTACAAAAATCGGATGTGGCTTATAAGAAACAGGGATTCTGTGCCCTTCACAGTAAAACGCGTTTAGTTTGTTCATCATCGGGTAAACTCATGCAAATTTGTTTTTCCGGTTGTGCTTCCGGTCGAATTATCGCGATGCAAAGCGTGGTTAGATATTCTTATATGATCGATATTGCTCCGTGTATCTCAATGCGGTCACGATGAATAATGAAAAAATACGTTTGAAAATGATTAACAGTCAAATTGATACATTTGTAATATTTGCAGGAAGAGGGAAGAGGCGCAGGGGTTACGGATACCTACTAATGGCAGGTGCCGTGTTAGCAGGTGAGGTCTCTCCTCGGAAACTTAGAAAGATTACGGTCAAAAGATAGCAAAGTGAGAAAGAAAGAAAATTTACGTTAAAACTACCGATGCTTAATGTCCGGTTTCTATCAGAGCGATCGAAATGACCGATTTTTAAATAAAAATACATAAGAGAAAGAAATTGTGCAAGAGAAAAAATTTTTATTAATTCTTTTTAATTTCATTCAACGTCGTGTAAAAATACAAAATGTGCTGTTATAAATTCGGGTAATATTCATGAGAAATTACAAACCGGTCATTTGGACTGTTTCGGCAGTTCCAGTGTTGATAATCAAGATGAAAGTCCGATTATGTTATATCGGTCGAATCTTCTCGAGCAACTAATCGAGCAACTAATAAAAAATATATTCCCAGTCGATATCGACCTAATCGATGAATAAAGAATTACTTTCTGCACTTTTACATTACCCCGAAACTTTCAAACCGACTGTTAAGAAGCACGTTTGATCCTTCTAGCGTTACTCATGCGATCGTCGATATCCTGATCGGCATTTTACGACGCGAATCGTATTTGTCTAGGCATGATGGCGCAGCTGGCTTACGGGAAAATAGCTTTCCTCGCCGGAACGGCGTTGCTGACGGCGAAGATGGCACTGGTGTTGAGCGCGATAGTCGGCTTGAAAAAGCTTGTATCGAGCGGAGGCGGTGGACACGAGGTAATCTACGCGACAGCGTCGGACCACCACGGCGGTGGTGGAGGCGGATACGGAGGTGGTGGCTACGGCGGCTGGCAACGAGCGATGGAAGTCGTTCCACCAACCTGAGTCGCATTTCTTCGATGTACACCGCGAATTCCCAAGCTTCCGTAACAACACAGCTACCGCGCGTAACACGTCTTTCCCGATGCATCCAAATAGCGTTTTGAAAATATGTAATTTATTTCTCAACACAGACTGCAAGAACGAGCTTATGTGTATCGCATTACCTCTTTTATAATCGAACAAACGTATTGTTACATAAAGAATAAACGATGTGTAATATTGAAGAGGTTTTTTCTGTAAAGGATTTTTCGTTAAGTTGTCGTTGACAGCAAAAGTTTCATCTTCAAATCTCGTGTCAGGAATTGGGAATTTTATCTCCCGCGCTAATATCGAGTCGATCAGAATACAAATGTAAATTCGAGGTGACTGACGACGATACCGTTTGTATCTTACGATATCGTACCTTCTGTATTTTATTTGTATCGTTGTTTAATTTATTATTGTTGTCCCATGTTTATATAATTTATATTTAATTTAATTATTTCATAAGGCTATGCGACGTGTGTGTTATCATTAAAATAATATCGGATACCAAACAACGTGTGTACATTCCTTAATGTTAATATTTATTATTAATTTATAATTATTAATTTATATTTATTATAAGATAATATACATATATATATATATATATATATATATATA